AGAGATTTTTGTGATGGTTGAGAGAAGCATAAGAGAGGGTTTCCCTTTTACAACTAGCGGCTACTAGGTTTTCAAATACAAATGAATCGGAATGGATCCTCTCTGGGCGCTTTTTTGTGATGGTTGAGAGAAGCATAAGAGAGGGTTTCCCTTTTACAACTAGCGGCTACTAGGTTTTCAAATACAAATGAATCGGAATGGATCCTCTCTGGGCGCTCACCAACTATTATGTTAAGCCCTGAGTGGTCAATCCAGGATAGCAGCGCAGAGCAGCCGACACCAAAATGGGATAGCAGGATTGGTCGCTATTTGATCATTTTTATACAAATTACATGAATAACAATTATACATATATGAAGTGCAGAGGGAAGAACAAAGTGCAGAGGGAAGAACAGAGTGCAAAGAAAGGTGAGGGAGGAACTTGTAATTTTTCTAAGGAACGACTGGAGCAGAATCATTGGTGAAGGAAGGTTAGGGTTGAGTCTCAACTCAAATTTGATTGAAAAACCCAAAATTATCCTTCAAATATTTTAAATTTAAGGGGTAATTTCGGTTTTACAGAGGGGAAAAGGATAGCGGGACAGTCTCCGGGCCAGGAACCTCTCCACCCCCGCTACCCGCAATTTACCCTATCGCGGCCACTATAATGTACTGCACCGCTAAGGCTCTTCCCATAGCGCCCGGCCTCTGCTCTGCTATAGCGGGATTGCGCCTCTATTGGCTGCTATTGACTACTCTGGCCAACATTAAACAATTTTAGCTACTTTGTCTCTTTTTCTCTGTTTTCTATCCTAGGTCAGTAGGTCCCATTGCCATCAATGAAATTCTAAATATCAATGTTAACCTAAATAATTTTTTCACTGAAAAAGAATATCAATATTTAAAACTACATAATAAATAAGATAACAACAGTTCCAAAAGATGTTGCATGTCCATAACATATTTGTGTATTATTACCTTGAATTGTAAAGTACTGTTGACAGCATCACTAACAAACTCCCAATTAGGACCCATATCATGAACCAGCACAACAAGAGCCTGCAAAATTTGAGAAAGAATGCTTTTACTGAGTCGTGGTGATAGAAGTTCATTTAATCTAGAAAGGACATAAAACAAAACTTGAGATCTTTAATATCTAATGAACTTCAAAAACCTGATCTTCAAATAGTGACCAAGAACTTCCAGAACCAGGCTGTCCTCCAGCAGAATTCTATAAGATTTATAAAATCAGAAGGATAAATTTGTACAACAAGAATGTAAATCCCTAAATTCGCACCATAAGTACCTTTAGCGATTTGCCTTTTCTTCCCCTATCCCGTCCATTAATGATTCTAATAAATTTATTTGGATTGGACATGTTACTCATTTGTGAAGCAACTGGGGAGGGAATAGAATTATTTATTGGAGAAATATTGTCAAAAGTTTCAAGCGATTGTTTTGTCATCTTCTGCTTCTTCACATTGTGTTGCCCGTACAAACCTTAAAAACAGGACAGTTAGTACAAAAAGCATGAAGAAAATTGAATATTTATTTAATTGTAAACAAAAAAAACTTCAAAAGAATAAATATTTAATAAGGCGATTTACCACTATTTCCATTCGATTCAAAGTGATGACTATCCAATCTCTTCTTGGAATGATCCCTCTGCATTGCAAACACATTAAGACACAAAGGAGGACAAAAAATACAAAGGAGAGCAAAGTGTAAAATATTTCAATGTTTCCCCAAATAGCAATAAAGACATATGATTTGGAATTTGGTCGGAGGCACACAAATTGTGACCTGTGATAAGAACATTCTAAAGTACCAACAAGATGATTATAAACTAATATTTCAGCAGTTAGATCACTATCTAAAGCATATTTATGCCAAATTACACGGAACTTGAGTATAGCTTATCATGTTCAAAGAGGTAGACAGAATTTGAGACAGAAATTTGGAAGGAAAAAAAATCACCTGTTCACCTAAAACAACAGAATCCAACTGCCATCCCTGATCATATCCAGAACCCTGTAGAAATAATTGTTATTGTTGACCAACCACAAAAAAAAAAAAAAAAGTTTCCAACATTAAACTAATAAAAAGGAGCCACCTCTCAAAATGAAGTCTATAGACTTGGTTATATCAATATAGATTTCATTTACCAGATTCTTGGGCTTCTTTTTCTTTATTTTAACCGATGTTTCACCGCAATCATAAGGTAACTGCTTTTCAAAATCTCCAACCGACTCCACCTCCATACTTTTCTGGAGCTGCGATCCAACATGTAAAGTACACTGGTCATCCTGAAAGGAATTGGTATCTCCACTTGAAGCAGCATCTGTCTTAGCTAGGGACTGTACTGTCCCAGTGACCACTGCAAAAGGACTCACAACTCTTTGTCGAGAAGCTGTACGTAAGCGTCTCGTTGGAACCGTACCAACATTTAAATTAGCAGACCTACTTCCAGATAGTGTGGACGGATGAGCTCCAGTTGAATAATGTGCATAAGGAAAATCAGTTCCAATTTCACTGGACCTTTGAGTGTAAGCCTTTATCCTGTTTTTGTGCTTCTTCTGAACTGACTTCAATGATCTTCTACTCTCATAGGTACCAGGCAAATAATAAGTGCTTGTTTCTCCTTCATCTTCATCGTATGCAACCTCTTCAAACCCAAACTCTACACAAATTTAAAAGGGGGGAAATTGTGATTGATTCCAAACTGATCAAAAAGCAACTCATAATTGAAATAATATATATAGTCCCAATAGTACCTGCTCCAGCATCATATATGGATGTTTCAACTTCTTGAATGCTACTACCAGTTTTCTAAAATAAATAATGAATGACAAAATGTTAAGATAAAATTTCATATAAAAGAATATGGTGGTGCCAAAATTTTAGTAAACAAATAAAACTTAAACACCATTCAAGAAGCACCACGCTATCTGCAAATTCATAAGGTTATAAAACTTGAGCATATGTGATCATAACTTTACCTCACACTGTAGGAAATGAGATTCAATGGATTTTCTGTAAGTTTCCATGGCAGTGTGAGGAACTGTATAGAAAAGACTTTCCTGAAAATTAAATAAACGACATGTAAACAAGCTATTTCAGGTAAAATAAAACTTGTTTATCATAAACTAATACCAAAAATATACCACAAAATCATCAATTAAACCATGATTGTAACCTAAGCTCTGATACCATAATAGAATGAGATGTGAATTCATCCCATCTAAAACTGGGAATTATATTTGTGTTGAGTAAAACTGATTACAAGGATGTTTATATCCATTGTTATCCTACACCAATCAGGGGGACCAACATACACCCAGTAATTAACTGTTTGAGCAGATGTATCTGCTAAAAGCTGCCACATGGCAGAATATTCTAGAATGTAAGCAAGAAAGAATAACAGAAAAATAACAGCTAGTATTGAGAATATTTTATTCTAACAGCCATATACTATGGACTTCGAAAACAACAATTTGATTTAACTAAGGTAGCAAAAATTAAGATGAGAGAGATGGGTTAATAATCTACAAAACTAATAAGCTATTAATATATTATAAATATTAAATAACTTAGTTCATACTTCTGTTAGATGTTCCTCCCATGACATGTCAACAGTGCCTGAATCAAATATCTTATCAGGAGTTGTCGGTGCTTCTGCATGAGAGGAAATTCCATGCGACCTACTATCTATCAAATACCTCGAAGCATAGGAATGTATTTTGAGTTTCACATTTTTTCTGGGATTCTGTCCCTTCAAGTAGTTGTTTGTTTCCTGGTAAAAATCACCAACATTAAGCATTTATAACAAACATATTGAAATTTCAACAAAAAGAAAAATTTATAACTTCAACTACTGCTGCAGAAAGTGAAAATTGTTCACCCAAAAAAAGAGAAGGGAGGGGTGGGACTAGTATCTAGAATAACACAGATCATGCAACAGGCATGACCACTTTAATGCATCTAACCAATGTAAGAAACAAGCAGCCAAATTACACAAACATACATCAGCAAGGATTACAACAATGCCCAGACAGAAAAAGGTAAGTATATGATAATCAAAACTAATCCACCGAGCACAGTAATGAACAATTCATAGCATATATTCAAGTAATGCTAAAAAAAAATTTGAAAATGGACTTAAATGTAAATAATAAGAGGTACAAATTTATTGCAAAATTTATTTTTCCAGTCTTATGGCATAAAATCTCAACTTCAACCATGGTTAAGTTCATCCTTTTTGGACATTCAATAATAAACCAGAACCCAACAGCCGAAACATCAACAAATATTTGTACATATAATCACTAAAGTCAAGATGCCACGAAGCATTACATCTAAGTATCTTGTTCAAGTTTAAATGTTAACAAGTACATATCTACAGGCATATATTTTAGCAAGTGAACACTATGTTGTAAAATAATAGGACCACAGAAGAACATTAGCTCAAGTGAGTAAACTAAGTAATCAAATCCATATAACAGTTCAGTCAGATCACCACATCAATCATAGTAGCAGCCTTTGGCCAATAAAGCAGGATCACTTTTTGAGTGGATAGACTAATAGGTCAAAAAAATACCTGCACCATTTCAGAATTTTTTCGCCTGTCCCTAGAAGCTTCATTTGAATCAACTTTTTTAGATTCAACTGAACTGCCAACACAGTTATGGTCAGGAACATCCTTGTCTAGTAGCAGTTCAACCGAATGCCAAAACTGCATGACAGCCTTAGCCATGGTGTGAGACAACATTTTCATCTCCAGATTCCTGTTTTGCGTTTCAAATCTTAGCCGAGAAGTAAAAGAAGCCTGATGACAGAGTTGCGCAGCAGCAGTTGTCTTCCAAAGACGCTCCTACAAATCACATTTTGGTGGAGAAATGATTTATTGAAACTCAGATATCAAGTAAATTTAATTGAAGTGGTATTCTTCAAGACATTAAATGAGAAAGACAAACAAGGGTTAAAGTACAACATGAAATCACTGGTAGTTCTAGAAAATAAAACCTGTGCAAAATCATTTGCCAACCATGCCATTTCCTCTAGGACAAAACCCCAGTGAGACTTTCGGAGGACAGGTGAGGGTAATGTGTGAGCAGATAACTCCATAATTCTCTTCCGCTTGACCTGTTTAGCACATGATATCCGAAATTTATAGTTAACAGAACAAATACAAATAATCTACAAGTATGTCTGTCACTAGAAATAGGAAGACAAATTAAATACCTCGATAATTCGAGCCTCTTCCAAAATTGAATCTTCATGAGCCTTGTCAGCTAACTTCAAGTGGTGCGGTGAACATGGTTGACAATCAGACACAGCAGTAGTAAACTTTTCAGCCAGAGTACATTGAGGATTTGCAGAAACTGACAAATCCATAGATACTTTAAGCCTTTCACAGCCTTCATCCTTGCTAGAATTGGAACGATCAACCATGACAACACTTTCCTTTTTATCAGCCTTCAATATAGTACTGTCATTGTTATGCGGTCCTCTAATATTGGACGAGTCCTTCAATTTGTTTTGCATGCAAGAACTATTCATTTGGATGTCTTCTTCAATTTTTATGATAATACCACTACCAGAATGGTTTACATAACCAGTGGCGTGTTCATTATCAACAGTAGCAGCACTTTCACCAATGTTAATCTTACTCCTTTCTATTACAGCTTCATAACCAGTTGAATTTAGTTTCTTCTCAAACAAAGTTTGTTCCAAAGAAATTCCATTTGCATCAGCATTTTCTGTATTAGTACACATATTGGTATCACTATTTACATCTCTAGCTAAACTAGTTTGAGCATTACAGGATTCTGGGTCAAAACTCTTCAGGTCTAATGCAACACTGCAATTTTGGTCTTCAGTGGATGCACCTTTCCTGTCCACTTCTATGTTGTCAAAACCATTTGTCTGACCAGGACAAGAATCATCTCCCAGTTGTCCAGCAGCTACGCAGGGTGAAAGCTCAAGTTCACCTGAAGCTCCTGGGTTCATTTCACCACCTGCACTAGCTTTGACAGAAGACAAGACAAGTGGGTTTTGTACAGTATTATCTTGAGCAGGTACAATACGTTGATCTTCTTTGAAGTCTCTATTCAATGTAATAATTAATTTGTCTGCAGCAACACTAACACTAATATTATTTTTTTGATGAGCTCGAGGACCCACAAATTCATTATCCAACAGATCATTTGTTGTTGGATCTTTAACAAGTTTCTCACCATTTAAACTAGTAGGCTTTGGCTTGGAAACAGAAAGCACATTGTGATCCTTTTGATTGTTTGTATCTGATATCAAACCCTTTCCGTCCCTTGAGCCCCCCCGGGAACCATGATTTGGTCTGGATCTGTTTCTTCGTGCATATGGGCGGAATATAGCAGAGTCTTCAGTCTCTTTAGCATTTTGACTCCCACCAATTTGAGAAGACTGTTCTGAAGGAGTAACGTTATTTCTTTTATACGAATGTAAAGATCGCTTTTCTCCTTCGGCCAACTCATTCTCACCATCAAAAAGTAAGAGGTTATCGGCAGTATTTGGCTCACTAATAGAAGGAGCACCCGGTCTAGCACTACTGTCTACAGAGTCACCGTGAGGGGAGGCAGTCAATACAAAACTACCTTTAGCTTCACTGAAGATGTGGCAAAAGAAAGAAGAAATATAACACCATTAAGAAAATTAACATACAAATCAGATATACGTAAAGATTATGGAAGTAAAAATAAGAAAGGGCAAAAAATAGTGAACCTGGTAACAAACTGTTCTTGATGTTGATCAGCAAGTGAAGTAGACTGAACACTAACAGAAGCAGCATTCCCTAACTTAAAGTCAAGAGGGTTCCCACCCTGCAATTAAAAGACACAGATGATCAGCATTTGCAATGAAGTATTGTTTTAATAAAGTGCAAAAGATCAAAACTTCCATACTTTTTCAAGAAATTCTAGCTCCTTTCTTCTTTCTTCACGAACGCCGTACTCCTGTCTGCTAACAAAGAGCATGAGTTATTCTTAATGCATAAGAGTATACTGATGCCTGAAACAAACAATAAAAAAGTGCAAGTACACAAAGGTTTTCCGCTTCACATCACCTTAGCTCTGCTTGAGCCTTCTCAATTGCTGCTCGGCGCGGAGAGGTTTTCAAACCTATACCAACTCCGCCATCCACAACACCTCCCATGGAATCAACCTCAGCATTTACAACATGAGCAGATCCGGAGTTACATTCATGCATTCCCGCCCTTAATATCTAAGAGCTTCACTTCCCATTTAATACAGAATCTGCTAATTTTGAAAGAAAAAAAAAGTGAATAAGGCATGAATCCAATAATATAGCAATTCCAAGGACACAGACTTTTTCAACAGCCAGACATTAGAAATGTTGACATCAATTGAAAACCAAACCACACAACACAGAGATCAACTTCACACACATATCAATAATTCAATTCAACATTTCCCCTAATTGAAAAGACAATTCAATCCTCTATGCCAAGCTGTTAAATTAGGAGGTCGAGATTTTGGATTTCCAACAGCCAAACGTTAGAAATGTTAACATCATTTGAAAATCAAATCATACAACACAGAGATTGAAAAGACAATTCAAGTATCTAACCCATGCTGTTAAATTAGGGGGTTGAGATTTTGGATTTCCTAAAGTCCAAATGCAAAATATTTGTTAAGCAGTTTGTATTTGGACAGCTTGAATTTTTAAATTGAATTTCAGATTCATTTCTAATCATAAAATAAACTGACTTAACCAATTATTAAGTATCATGAATGAATATATTTGTGCCGTATTTTCCAAGCGTTCGGCATAAATATTAACATGTCAATAATTCTACACACTTAATATATAAAAGAACAAGCAGAAGATGAGAAAAACACTGTATCAATCACGAGTTAATATGACTATTAAAGGTGGAGCAACCAAGGTAGAAAAACAAGTGATCTCAAACACTTAACAAGCATAAGCTTCATCTTATTCACCAAATCCCCTAAAGTATTTCATAAAACATGATGGCAAATTTCGAAGTACAACAACACCAAAGATCATACTAATGTCTGACAGATTATTTCCATGATTTAAATAAAAGATAAGGATAGCATAGATGTTTTAAATATCGGTCGGGGTCGTGTAAAGGTTTCGGGATTTTGGTCAGTACAGGTGCTGCGACACTGATTGCGGTAGTTGCGGTGTGAAATAACCATAATTTGTTCTTTATCACAAAAACGGTAAATAATTGTATCAGTAGCAGCACCTTCCGATATCGTATTATCACATCAAGGTAACGAGCCGTTTTTTAAAACCTTACATACAGTTGTAGTCTCCTACATACTAGAGGAAAAGCATACATTATTTAAAAAATAAGCAAAGGAAAGAAAATCCTCAACAAGAGAGAAGCATCATCATACTTCCAGCACACTCATGCAATTCTGAAAGCTGTCGACTAAACTAATCACAAAAGAGTGAACCCAAGGTGTGTTAATACGTAAAGTACTAGTCACCATACATATTAACATGCATATTTGGCAACTATAGCAAACATGAAAAGCTTGCCGCCAAGGATTCCCTTCAAACATTCAAACCCACAAATCCAAACCACATGTTTACACTTCAAATCACTAGCTCACTCCCAACTAAAAGATTCGCATCCAAATATAGTTTCCCGATAAAAACACAAACATTAAATAACACATGAATGACATACATAACCCACATAAACACGCACACACTACGCTACAACAAGTCACGAACCCATTCCATTTCAACACAATGCGTATCATAGTATCAAACTATCAACTACAAACAACGCTACAGAATTCCCCAAAAAAATTCAAAACCCTAATCGCACCCATTCCCGCGGAATTTCCCCAATTCGCACAATCCTAGGGTTTCACGAAAATGCCAATAAAACAGCAATTGAGCCAAGAGAAAACACCTGAACATACAAATACTGGCTGAAATTGGAAACTAGGGCACAATTCAACGAACTCCCAACCCGGAATCCCTTTCTAGGGTTTTGGAAAAAAGAGGGATATCTCTCGAATTAGCCCTAGAAACTAACGTTGTGCAGGAAATGCAAGGCATGGAATTGGTACGAGTGAGTCATGATGGAAGCGTAGCTTGTGAAAATTGGGGCTATGTGTTTCTCTCTCTAGAAGTTGAACGAAGAGGAAGGGTGATTTTGTTATTTGATGTTGTTTTTGTTGGTGTTCGAGGTGAGAGAAAGAGAAAGAGAAAGAGAAAGAGAAACTCTGCTAGAGAGAGTGATGTGGGCTTTGGAAATGAAGACGATGACGCAGAGACAAGTGGGCTTTGGCCTTTTATTGGTTTTTTTTGTTCTTAGATTTAGATTTCATTTAGGTGGTGATGAATCAATCAAAATGAGTTTAACTTGTTTTCATTTAAGACTTAATCATAATCGTTAAATTTTTATAAATTTAATTTTAAAATTACGTAAATAGTATGTTATGATTTGTTGATTGTTTTTTTATTTAATAGGTATGTGAGATAAAGTTACAAATAAAGTAATTATATGGCGTGTAAATAGAAATAAATTTTAAATTTTAAAATTAAAAAAATAAAATATGCATAATTAGGTAAGTGTATGCCGGATTTGACCGTGTTTAATTAGAAATAAATATGTAATTTTGTTATATTAATTTTTTTCTTACCAAAAGTGATATATGTAAGAAGTTAAATTGTTTGTTGGTTTGACTAAGCAGAATTAAAATTAAATGTTAAATTTTTTAGTCAGATTGTTAACATCTTTGAAGAGAAATTAATATGAAATTTTATATTAAAATATTAATGTTATTAAGGATAACTATATTTAACAATATATTTAATTATATAGTTTAAAGAAAATATTCACCATCATATGAACTATAGCAAATTATATAGTTTATGTATTTTCGATTACAAATAAGTGTTCTCATAATTTTGTGTACATTTTTATCTAATTTTAATCATCCATTCTTTACTAATGATTTATCACTAATATAGTTAGTTTTAAGATATATTCTCTAATTTCACCAACAAACAAGCATTGTATTATAGTTTAAAATTAGTTGTAGGGTTAGCATTTTTTATAAATTCTATAACAATTTGAAAGTTGGTCAGGGATCTTTTATATGATTCAAGAAGCAACTACTTTATTCTAGTTATTTTAAAAATTAGGTCGTATGAATAAGATATGAGTTTCTATTGTTTGAGTTTTCATCTTTATATGAGTGGTATAAAATTTTATGTTTTAAAATTGTTTATGTGTATATGAACATAACATTGAATCAATTTCTCATATCTCAATATTGAGAAATACTGTAGTAGTTTTCAATACTGAGACTAAATTGACTTATTTTCCAAAATCTTTAAGTTCATAGTTTTCAAAATTTTAACATAATTTAGGGTTTACATGTTGTGTCCTTAAAATTATTATGAGTTTTTATTTCAATAAGTCATTGGAACTAATCAGATAGGCATAAAAACTACTACTCTTCTTTATTTCGCACACTTATGTCTTCTAGCAATTTTATTTCTTAACACCTATGTGAATATATAATAGTGAATGCAGACTTTAATCATTTGTGCGTGACTTAGGCCATAATGGGTGTGATTTTCAATAGTATCGTAAATCTTCTATTGTAATTGTTGAGAGGATGTCTGTTATTTTTCTTTTGAGCATTATTTATTTTATAATTAGCTTATTATACCATACATATTCCACTTTTTCATCTTACTCATATTTGTGTATGATTAACTTGTTGTTGCTTTCTCTTTGGAGATTTATGTAGACTGCTATAGCAAGACTTCTTCAAAAGTGTTGAGAATATTATCTTGATTTATGTCAACGTAAGAAATTAAAATGTAAATACCATTTGGCTTACCCATGGAAGTTTTTCTCATTGCTTATACTGATGTCAAATTATTTTATACCTAAGAATGTGTGTTGTCATTCAAATATAGATCTTACATTCTTTTATATTTATGATGTACGATAAAGGTCCTAGTTTACCTCTAGGGTTAGCCTATTGATAATTTGAAAATTGGATGTCTAACAGTTGTATCCAGATTCTTGGGAACATGTGAGAGCTTTTCAAAGTATTTACCGAGTTAGTTATATTGACCCATGTCCCCTTTGAAACTTGTTATTATGATGCTTTATTTTCTTGTGTGGGTCAAAGATTTATTTTTCCATGGTGTAATGAATTAGGTTTATAATCATATCACCCTTGGAATTTAAACATATAATGAATAATTTATTGGAGGAGTGTACTTACTAAAAGTGCAATAAGTGAGAAATCTTGGTTGTGTAGGGTTGTCTGAGGGTTTTAGGATTGTTAGTGTTAGAGCAAGCCCACACTTGGATAGTGAGAAGCTTTGTGTGATCGGTGGAAATAGAACTGACAGTTTTTTAAGCTGATTCGCGAAATGTCGCGGTAAGCAAGAGTCGTCACCGTCTTTTATGTTCTCCAACATGGAAAGGACAAAAGCACAGCAAAATTCCTTCTTTGAGAATGTTCTCGGTTCGGGAGGTAGATTTATAGAAAGGGAAGGTGTTAGCACCCTTTCTATCAGTGGTTATCCACGGGCTCTTAGGTACTTGCTCTTATGTTTTCAAAATGTTTTGCTTTTCGTGTGTTTGTGGGTTTTGAAAAAGTTTGTTTTGAAAACTTCGTTTTAACTCTTGTATCTGTCCTCAAGAGTGTATGAAGTGTTTGTTTGAAAACTTTTGTCAGAAAAGTGTAGGTGCGAAAAGTATTTTTTTGTTTTGAAAAAGCAAGTACCTGAGAACCTCTACCTACTCAAAAGAAATTAAGTTGTATAAATGTCCTTTAGACAGTACTATCCCACTATTGAGAAGTAGGTAGCACCGTCGTTGGAGTTGTTCGGGTCAATTCGATTATTAGGGACATGTGTGGTCACCAAAGCAATAGTAGGACGCCTTAGCGGTAACCCTAATGTCCTAGATCCTTTTTAATCCGAGGCAACCATTTCGAGGCAACTGGATCTTTAGACAGGAGGGCGACCTCTAAAACACCCTATACTTGACGACCACCTCGAGGCAACCGAGTGAGGCGTACCCTAGGAGTGGCATGTGCATGTGTGTCAGGTTCAATTTATATTATCTTTGAACATGTCATGGGTTATCTATGTTGATTTTAAGTTCATACATTGGATCTTGTCATGCATTCCCTATTATCAAACATCTAACAGTTAATATTGTGTGGAAATTAAATTGCGGGAAATTAAATCTAAACTATTACAAGGCGTCGGGTATTTACATCGCCAAAAACAAACCCTTTAATTTAAATTGCGGAAAGTAAAATAAAGCAATAAATAAATAAAGTCCTAATTAAAGTTATTACATTCCGGAAGCAAGTACAATAATATAGAAAAATGGATCGCGTGCGGGAAATTAAATTGGATGCGAGTTTTTTGGGTTTTGACCCTTTTTTGAAAGAAAGTGATTTTTTTGGTTATTTTTGAATTAAATGGAATTAAATTAAATGAACAATTAAATTAAATTAAATAATGAACATATTTTTGGATTTTTGAGTTTTTAAAGAAATAAAATAAATTGAATTAATGCTAATAAAAACCTAATATTCTAAATTGATTTTAAATATTGCAAAAAATATCAAAAGTTAAATCTAATTAAAGCTAAATTGATTAAATTAATTTATTTACAAAAATAAAAGTGATAAAGTTAATTTTAATAAATAAAATATTTTTTGTGTTTTTGATTTTATTAGGAAAAAATATTAATTGGTTAGTGATTAATAAAAATAATAACGATTAATTAATTAAAGGAACATAATACAAATAGAGAGAAAGTTTAGGAGTATACGGGCCTGATTGGAGGGGTGAAACAGCTGTTGGCGTCATGTGTAAACTGTTTTGTTTTGGCCATTTGTATTTTGGCTTTTGGCCATTTATGTTCTGGCTTTTGGCCATTTGTGTTCTGGCCTCAACGTTCCTTAACCTTCTCAGGATGTCTGTCTCGCCATGTATTGGTGTCATGTGTAAACGGTTCTGTTTTGGCCATTTGGCTTTTGGCTTTTGGCCATTTGTGTTTTGGGCTCAACGTTCCTTAATAAACCTGCATGGGATCCTATCTAAATCTGCAGTGTTGAATCTCATGAACACATTAAATAAATTACTATATATCATAAAATACAAATAAAGCCAATATATGAAGAAATTTAATGTTTATGAAGAAATTTAATGTTTAGGCCAATATGACATGTATGAATGATTATACCCTTTTGATCATGGAGATCAAATCAACCTTACCCTTACTGGAAAAGTAGTGACATGAATGCTTTTATGCCCTTTTGATCATGGAGATCAAGCCAGCCTTACCCTTACTGAAGAAGTAGTGAGATGTTGATATGTAACTGAGATGGCTTGTTTGTAGTGAGAGAGAGATTTGTAATAAGGATTTCAAAGTTTTAGGGTTCTTGAAAGAATTTGATATTCTGACAGTGTTGTGGCAAAGTTTTTTTTTCTCTCCTGGTTTGTGTGAAAAGAATGTGATTATATAATGGAAATTAGGGTAAAGAAAATGGGCTTTGAATGTGCAATTGGGCCTCCAATGTTCACTTGAGTTCGTCACTTTCCAGACTAAATCGCAGGGACTTAAGTGCAATTTTTGAAGTTGAAATATGAAAACAAAATGTAGCTGACATCGATAACTAACTCATGTTCGAAAATCGGCTCAATCGGATAAACGGTGAATTAGTTATGAATTTTTGAAGTTTCAGCTCAGACAAACTTATTTTGGGCTCCAGTGTCGACTCTGACACGTTCTTCAATAAAAAACTGGTATTGATCGGAGTATAATCTGGTCTCTACTTTTGAAGAAAAGTTGTAGATCTATGAGTCAGTGACCTTGTGTAAAAATATGAGCTCAATCCGATAAAAATTGACCGAGTTATGAATTTTCGAAGTTTCGACCCAGATGAAATAATATTCAGCATTCAGGATTTTCAGCGTGTCACGCACTTTGAGCAAAAAACGAAGGTCTTTTGAATACCATTTGAACTCAATACCTTCTGTGAAAATGTAGTCAACTCAATTTGTGAAATTTTGGCGCCGGAACCAGCTCGATACGATGAAAATCGACCAAGTTATGATTTTCTGAACATGACGCAAATAAACTTCTGTCACAAATTTCCTGTACGGAAATACTTGATAAATCCGCATTTTTGAAGACCTTCTGATCGAAATTGGCTTCCAG